TAGCGAGCACGAGTGTGTTTGTGTGCGATCGGGCACACGTGTGCGTGAACGGCTAATCGATTCGCCGACTACCCGCGGGCATCTTTCTTCATGTGCGCCGTATTTGTAAATGTGTGTGTCGTACCTGCGTTCTGGGAAAGCAGTTAAAAAGTTCAAAGAAAAAATAAACTATCCGGATGTTTCCAGAAGGTTCTCGAAAGTAAACAAAAGAGTATTTAAAGGAAGAGACGGTCGCCGTTATCGCTGAGAAGGAAGAAATAAATTGACAGTGATAGCAGTGAAATAAATAGCGCAGTGAAAAGTGTTTTTAAGTTCTTTAATAATTAATGTAAATAAATAGTTTTTATCGTTAGTTTTGTTAAACCCACGAACATTACAATATGATAGAAATCCAACACGCTAGAATTGTAGATTTATTCCTTTAGGTATAGTAAGTGGGGTGAACAAGTCATAACTAACCTTGTGTGCTACACAACATACGTTCCACTTTAATGTTAATTATTTTAGGTATTATGTGTGTAGAATTTTTTCCCATATACTGAAGATAAATATATCCCCTTACATCTGTTTATACACAATATGTGTAAAAGTGTTCTTGAAACAATGTTGACCTTAACTGCTTTTTCATATCCATCGACCGCGAAAGAGCCAATTAAAATCTTTCGCTCAGTTATAAGTATATTCACTTGAATGAGCAATAAATAGACTTTATTACCTCAGCAAAGTGTTTGCTAGTCGATGTTTCTTTTATTGTTTTTAATACGGTGTTGTAACTTATAACAATGATAATGTTGTTGATTGGCCTCCTAATGGTACTACCAAAAGTAAAGCCAACCCCATCGAGTAGTCTTTCCGTTGTTTTAATGTCAAATAATATGATCGCTTGCAATAATTTTTAAGTAGGTACAAGACATTTTTGTTGTCGCACGTGTAGAATAATAATAAACAAACACATAATAACGAGGAGAAATGTTTTATGAATACGTAAGAGTGGTTAATAGAAGCTGTC